GAGCCCGTGGCTAAAAAGATATTATGTTTCATACTAAGCTTTATCCTTATAAATTCACCAGATCCACTGGCCTGGTGAAAAAAATGCACGTCTGCCAGCATACAGCCGCTGAAATACAAAGTGGCGGTCATGTGAAGCTATATAGATAACCTACATAGGTTGTATGTGTATGTATAGAGAGGGCTTATAGATATATAAACCTATCGACCCTCTCAACTTATAGTATTTATAGTCTTAAGACATGAAATAATAGTCAGTTACTCCATACCCATGAATTTCAAGTCGGAAAATTGAATTTACAATTCAAAAATTTTACTTCTTTCGTGTTTTCGCTTATATCAGTGAAACTGTCAATTTTATCAATTATAATATTCTATAATTGTGGCTTAATTGTTGACTGTCGTGAATAATGAAGAGAAGATAATAATAAATAAATAAGAATATAAAATAAGATTATAAAAAATAAATAATAATATTTATTTTAACATTTGCCGACGTTTCGATCTGAAGTCCTTCATCAGGGCTAAGAAAAGAATCAGATAGAAGAAGAGAACCTTCCTTCTCTTCATAATAATATTTTATGTTCTGACAAAATGTGTAATAGAAATGGTTATATTCATTTTTTCGCTATCTTCTATAGCTTCCGATATATCCGTCCTCGTAATATGCTACTAAACAAAGATTGTTTTTGCATCGGTTTTTTATCATTATTTGTCTCTTTTTATTTCCATTTTACGAAATATTCATGAATTTTACGAAATAGTCATGAAGAAGAAATTTGTTTAATATTGAATTTTCTTTAAGAATGAAATGAAAAGATAAATAGTTGGTGAGTCAAAAAATGCGACGTAGAAAATTTTTTTTTCGATATTAATAAATTACTAGGACGGATATCATGGAAACTATAAAATATAGCCAACAAATAAATATAACCATTTCTATTGCCAATTTTGTCAGGTTTAATTTCACCTAAGACATTATTATAGATAAAACGGACAGTTTCATTGATATAAGCGAAAACCCCCCAAAAAAGTAAAATTTTTGAATCGTAAATTCAATTTTTCGACTTGAAATCCTCGGCTATGAGGTAACTGACTATTATTTCATTTCTTAAGACTGTAAATACTGTAAAATGAAAGGGTTAGCAGCTTTATATATCTATAAGCTCTTTCTGTATATACGCTTAAAACCTATGCATGGTCTCTATCTAACATTACTTGGCCGCCATTTTGTATTCCAGCGGCAATATGTTGGCAGACGTGCATATTCCTCATCAGGCCTGTGGATATCATCAATTTATAAAGACAAAGCTTAATATGTAACATGATACCTTTTGTGGCACAGTCTCCAGAACTATCACTTTTCCCTGAGGGAGCAAATCTGGTTTGGAGTTCCCCTGGCTGATTGTAAAGAGTGTATATAGCTATGCAAACGTCTAAATGTTTATTTTATTTTTTTAAGAACATTTTACTTTATTATTTTTATTTTTATTCCTGATTATTATATTCTATTGTGTTCTCATTCCGCTGTATATTATTTTGTTATTACCTTATTTATTTATGATTCTGTAAATGTGCTCTTAGAATTCTATTATAAGTATTCTTAATTGTGACAGATTGTAATATTTATCAATGAACAAGTGAAAAAAAAAACATATAATAATGGTAGAATAGAACCATTTTGAAAATAAACTCGTTTTAAACTATTAAAATGTACGATATTTTTTTTTAAATAAATCATAATTCTTGCAGAAGCCTTTTAGGTAATACGGTTGTCATGGGATACTTACCACCTGTTTGAATTTAACAAATTAAAATATTACTATTAGGGTAAATAGCAGACATTGCACTCGTAACAGACAGTTTCCAATTCATTAATAAATAATGAGCTTTATAGTAGCTGTAAAGAGGAGATATATAGGATGTAGAGTAGAAACAGTTACGAGAGGTGATGGCTCAATCTCAAGAGGTATCATGCCACGGTAGTTCGAATGGCAGCTCATTTAATAATAATATAAAGCTGCTGTTTCAGGGAGGTTTGATTATTACTTTTCTATAGGAAATAAGATTGAAATTTTGATTTAATTTGTGGTTTGCTATTTTTTTAGTTTAAAAATGTAGATGTTTTTAATTAAATAATAAATGTATTTACCCTAAAAACCTGAGTGTCTACTACTTGTGCGAAATACACTGTCAGAATTCTTTAAGTTCTTGATGAATAATTAACTAATTGACTGTTTATATAAAAATAATGCGATAAAAGACTTAATTTGCTGTAATTTTTTTATTTTTTTTATTTATGTAGACATATAATATTCTGTCATAGGGACAATAATTATATTGATAAATGAACACATTGACACCGTAAATACAAAAAAAAAAATTAACAAAATAAACAATAACTAAATAACAATAAATAAAAACTATATAATAAATAAAAATTATATAATAAATAAAAACTATTAATAAATAAAAACTATAATAAATAAAAACTATTGCTGTAAATTAAAACCATTTGCCATAACCCACCGGACGATATAAAATTGTGGTCGACAATAATGTTGAGAATCTCTCTTAAACTGTCTATTACCGACACAGTTAATGATATTCGAAATAAAAATCTATTGAAATGTTAAATGGAGGAGTATAGCTCTAAAATACATCAGTAACTTCATATAATATTGAAAAATTTTAATAATTAAAAATAATATATAGGTATGACTTCTCTGCACTCAATGATAGTCTTCTATTATCTTAGTAAATGAGATAACTACAAACAAGATTTTTCTGTAACAAAAAAATACAATACTTATTGATCGAGTACAAAAATGGATTCGTAGTCAAGTTCAGGGATAGTCTGATTGCCTAGCTATTTAATTTGAAGAATATATTGCAGTGGAACTGGATATTTTTTGTAGGTATGTATTAGGATATTTACTTCGAAAGCAAGAAAGATCCTAACTACCTATATGAAATGGTGTTTAAGTAATTATTTAAGTCCTATTAAATGTAATTAGACCAACAATAATACTTAGAGAGATAATTTTTTTCATAAAACATGGTTATATTTTAGCCCTTTCAGCTTCAGCCCGAAAGCCCTCTCCTTTCAATTGTCGACTCCAGGCGACTTTATCCGAGCGTTACATATCGGAGATCTGACGGCTCAATCATTACCCATAAAAGAAAATTAGCACAACGCGCCCAAAGGAGTTTTCACTTGAAAAAAAAAATATATTTTTCTATTTTTGGCAGTCTTGATTCCTGAGTTCTTCAAACATCGCAAGAAGCTAAAACAAAAATAAATGGCTCGCTACTAATGACTTTGGCCGTAAGGACTCCTTACACACTACAGTTCTTCTCTCCTCCGGTAGCTCCAAGCTAAGAGCTCTTGCCTTTAGAACTTGCTCCATATTTCAACCTCAATAACATCTTCCAACACAGATTGGAAATATTTTATACACGTATGGTTATAATTCCAGCGTCGTTTGGAAATAATCATAATTCATTCGGTCAGAAATAATAATAATAATTTATTTATTCTGGGACGAGTCCTTTTAGATTAATACAGAAAGATATAAATATGGGCTAAGGAGCCTCAGAGATACATAAATAAAGATACAGAGTAGTTAAACAGTCATAGTAAAAAAATGAAAAATTATAAGTTACTTTCTAATTTCAATCAGTTATTAATATAAAATAAAAATTGAAAAAAAGAATAAGTAAAAATAATGAAGAACGAACTAATAATTTATATACATATTTACATTAGTATCTATTTACAAAGTGGACTGGATGGATAAGAAATGATTGAACAGGCGAGATTTAAAGGTAGGAAGGGTATTGGATTGACGAATGTGAGAAAGGATGGAGTTCCAAAGGGACGAGGATCGGATAATAACGAAATATGTCCGACGAGAGAGCTCCGACACCGGATCTTGCATCATTTTATTTTTTAACTTCTAAATTTACACTAGAAAATAACGTATAGGTCTCATTCCACATCATATCAACCAGTTAAAAACAATTTTAAAACTAAAGATCTTGGAATTTGATAATGTTTTACTTATTTATTGAATGCATTAATATAAAGAAAAATACTAAATTTTAGATTTTTTGGTCTTACGATTTTAAGTTAATTTTAAAATAATAAAAAAACTCTAAAAACGGTTACTTTAGTTTATTCAAACAAGTACAAATACTTGAATACAATATTTATAAAAGGAATTGTATATTTTCCTAGATTTTAAGTTTACCTGTTAATTGTTAATTTAGACTTATACTATCATTTTTAAATGTTGCATTGAGTATTTTTACTTGTTTGTATAAACTTACACGTAAGTGACATTTAAAAAAAAATATTATATTCATAAGTTTAAAGAAATGTATATTTTAATATTGGCGAAAAATTACGGCGTTTTTAGTGTGCCTATTGTAGATCAACAATTTTTATCTTGTGAACCCATTGTTTCTCCACTTCGAAATTTGGCACATCTTTGGCCATCATATATTACAATAAAATATAATTTTTTAATTACATTTTTTTTCTCGGAAAAATACAATTTTAGAATAAATAAAAAAAAAAAGCATAAACAACCGAAAAATATGACAAGGGTTTCATTTTTCATTGCATGCATTAACACCTATCAAATTAACAGTCAACTCTACAAGAGATTCACTAATCCATACAGTAAACATTATACGTCATACGTGGAATCGAAAATTTTCAATAGTGCCTCCAAAGTTTCTTTGATAATATTCTAAAATTTAAAAATATGAAATTTAGCAAAATTTGTGTGAGTACACACGAGGTTACTGAAACATTTTTAGCATGTTTTCTTCTGTCTTAGAAAGCTCATTTTAAAGCAAGATTTTTTTCTTGCTGTATTTTGTCTCTCATAATTTGTGAAATATCTAAAGACACCTTCAGATATTTCGACAGGTTCGGCCGAACTCGGCAATGTTCGGCGACACTCGGGCTCCCCCTCCACTCCAACCACAGGCCTTGCCTTTAGTAGCGCTCCGGACTCGGCGAGGTTCGGTCGACAGTGTTGTTAAAGTTCTGTTCGTTTCGGCATTTCACTCGTCACATGACATTCTTCTGACATCATCGGAACCCCACGGAGGTACGTCTCGAGTCTTAAGAACTATATAGAAATAATTTTTACAAAATTTTGATAAATAGTTTTATTTTTCTATGATCTAAGATTTGAATATCTATTTTTTTTTCTACATCTGAGCCTTGCTCCATCGATCTGAGGAATGGCGTGTTTAAGTCATCGATTTCGCCTTCCGTCGGCTACTGTTCTCTTCTACTTAAAATAATAGACACTTTTCGTGTTCATTTTTTTTTTTTTTTTAATCTTGCACGTGTGTCCTACTTACATACCTTTCTGGATACAATAATACCCTCTAAGCTTTCTCAATCTCATATTATATATTAAATAGAACCATTTTGGAAAATGTGAAAATAATTTTGAAGATGGTAGGTCGGTGTGTCCTTGGGGGGTTATTGTGTGTGGAGAGTTTTAAAGAGTGACATCACAGTCATTTGTGGATAACAGTCTTAGAGGTATTATATAAAATTAATGGCAGTGTAGTTATATAGTTGTTTAGAAACAATCATTTATCATTTACGTGGCTTATCATTTCTGAAAACCTTGCTTATGTCACTTATTTTTCATGAAAATTATCTATTTATATGGCGTAATAGATAACTATTTACATTGATTTGAAATACAAAATCTCTATATACTCTCATTTTAATATTTAACACAATTAAAATAAGTACAGTTAATATTTTGAATAATGTTATTTGAAGTGGCAAAGCATCTTGAATAATTGCTTAAGTGGAATTTAAAAGCCTCGTTTACACTTAAACATTTCTCTATAAAAATAGATCTCGCGAAAAAAATGAAACAATAACAATAAATGTATAGTTAAATATGTATATAAACATAATAATTTTCATTGCTATTACTCTGCGAAATAATAGGACAGACATTTTTATCAATTTAGTTAATTATAAATTTACTTGATACATATTTGTTTAAAATATTTCTTTACTGAACAATATTACAATCTATCACAACTAAGGACATTAGTAAATAGTGATACAGGACTTCATTCTCATCGCATGTACAATAAAAAATTAAATAGAATAACAGCAAAATAATAATACAAAAAATAAATATAAATAAACAAAAATAATCTTTTACATAATATTACAGAAAAAATCCTTGGGAAAAATAAATCTGCGAAGTGTGGTGCTTAAGAAATATTTTCTTATAAAACAAAATATCATACAAATAAAAATAAATCAGTGTATACACTGCAGTCACTAAAAATATCATGGAAAAATAAAAATAAAGTAAATAAATTAATGAAAGTTCTTAAAGTTAAAAAAATTATTAATTTCTATTTTTTTGTATTCTAAAACTATACTAGGTGAATCATTTATATTTGTGTATAATATTCGTAGCTATTTATATTTTTTAATATGAGAATTAGTTAAATATAAAATTCTGATATCAAACATATTTATATTTCATCATGATTATTATATGAAGCTTAAACAGCTAAATCTATTTAAATACGTCTTAAAGGGATTATAATTCATTTAGTAGTACTAAAATATTTCATAATTATTAATAAATAACTCATCCTATTATAATTTAAACTGACCATTATTTTATTAATGATTTTAATATTTTTTTTTTATATATATTTATATTTATTTAATTTATGTTTTGGCGCGAATATCATGAATAATTTTATTCTCTAAAAATTATTTCAAATCGTAAGAAATAATTATTTTATTATCTTAATGGTTGATTATGAATTAAATATTTGACTTTACCGTGACGTGGGAGTCTGTGTTAGGATGGGACATGTTTTCGTTAAAGGTAGTACAGTTCTCATAGCGAGCCAGTCTGCGAATGAATGCCTGTGTGCTCTTTTGTATTTTATAAATCCATCAGCTGCATTCATAACACTTAATATAAATATAATGAATGAATCATTACAAGTCAGAGTTTCTCTCCCGTGTGATATATACTTATTTAAATATGTCTATATAGGCTGTATCAATTCTTAATGGACAAACTGAGGGTTAATTCTAGACAAAATTTCTAAATAAAAAGTTCATTTGATGCATGGACTAATTTCTAACGAAAAAGCAGTTATGTCCAATTTTATATTTTTTATATCTCTTTCATAGCAAGCGAAAACATGTGTAATTAAAAATTGTTTGATGGTAAACTAGACAAAATTCCTTTTCAATACAAACAGAGTTTGTCTTATAAAAACATTTAATTAGTTACTTAATACCATAAGGATCAATTCTCACAATAGATACCTGTGTTATAAACAATTGTTCATTATCACCTTTGATAAGAAAAAGATGAAAAATCAGTATTTTTAAATAATTTTTTTTTATAATTAATTTACTAAAATAGATTTCATGTCCCGAGAAACAAATAATTAAAACTTTGTTTATGATTTCTGGATTATTATTTTTGCTGATAATAGAGGTACTCTGGAGTGACATAATATCAAATTATATTTTCACAGAAGTCGACGTGAATTTCAACTCTATTTTAAAACAACCCTTAAATAAATTGACAAATAGAGTACCTGTAGTATAGTTCGAAGGTTAAAATGGTTTTGACAAAAACATACTCTACTTATATTTGAAGGAAATTTAGTCTAGTTCACTAGAAAGGAATTTTTAATTACTTGGATTATATATTTCTTTTGTATTATCGCTTCCAGTGAAAGAGAAAACTTGACCAACTTAAGAAAAGACAAAATCGGACTTAACTCATTTTTTCGTTCGAATTCAGCCCATACATCAAGTGAAAGTTTTGTTGGAAATTTCGTCTAGAAACAGCTCGCTGAGTTAGAGCATTAAAAACTGGGACACCCTATGTATATTTTGACAGATATTTTATACGATATATATATATATATATATATATATATATATATATATATATATATATATATACATATATATACTATATTTGAATCTTCGAGATTCATTCTGTGGCCGAAAAATCAATTTTAACCCGCCCAGTCCGGAGTCGAACAGGTATATCAAACTATTATACTATCTACCCAATCATATTTCAATTTTTTACAGTAAAGCCCAGTCAACTTAGCACCAAAAATTTGTGTAGCTTGCGAACGTTAGGGTGATTCAATTTTTTTTTTTATAATGAGTATTAAAAATCCAAGTGGCCGCCCTTGAAAGCCGTATGGGTTGGGTCCAATTGTCCAAAAGCCATTGAAATTTCGTTGAAAAACGATCGAAGAAAAAAAAATGGCCGTGGTTCATATTACGTTAACAAATTCAACATAATTATTGTGAAACGATCAAATATAATATTGGATATTTAAAAATAAATTTATATATATATATATATATATATATATATATCTTTAGACATTTGTAGAATTTTTTTAATATATTACAATTTTTATATATTGTAGGAAGGAAGGCAGAATTCAGAATTCAGAATATATTTCTAGTACTTTTTCAGCTAAAAATAAAAATACGTTTGATTTCTAAGTTTGTACAACCTCCAAATAGAAATTAACGTTTTCACAGTCTGATTATGTAAAAATGTCTATAAAAACATTCTCCAAAAAAAAAAAATTTATATATGTACTTATTAAATTTATTTTTTGCGACTTATTGATTTTTTAAAGAAAATCGTTTGAAAATGGAGGTGTCAAGATGAAAGGTGTATGAATCATAAAATCCAACGGTATGTTTCTATATTATTATTCCTGAATATGAATGAAACTTTAAATAATCGGGATATTTAGGTCGTGATAAAATAGTTGTAGACATTAGCTTAGCCAGCTAATCGACTTTTCTTAATCGATTTTAGTTAACATATTGTATTCATCTATATACCTTATTTGTTTTCGATTTTATTTTTATTGTATTTTAAATTATTGGAGGGGAGCGACACGATGTTCTCGCCTCCTCAACATTTTTATTGGTTGGGGGTGGACCTGAAACTTAATTAAAATACTTTTTGTTAAATTTTATTCGTGTTTCTCACTGACTCGAGCCTCCAACCATATTATTATTATAGATATTTTTTATTTATGGTTTATAAAAATCATTGTTAATTTTGCACACTAAGATGGTAAGGACATGTAATATATAATTATGTATTACGAAGTGAGTTACATGATACAGCGAGTCTTGAAAACACTGAACCTCCTTGAGAACCGTATCTCCGTTCTCACGTGAGCTGAATTAATGAGTGTCCACATTTTTCCAACTCTTTTCAACTTTCCGTTCCCTCGTTATAAAATAGCATTCGGTATCATGTTACATTTATTATAAACATCTGATTAGATAAGGCATATAATAGCGTCTTGAGAAATGATTTCCTTGTAAGGAATAACTTCGAATCGTTTCCTCATCTTTACATATTATCAAAGATATTTTTTTATCAGTTCGTCTCATTCATCAATTCTTCAATGATTTGATGTGTCCACTTACAGAAAGGAATAACTCCATTATAAGTTTCTTTTCTATAGATTTTTAAATATGGCTGAATAGAAGTCGGTATTGTTATCAATCGATTTCTTCCATTATTATTATTAACTTTTTTTTGTAACAACTTGTTGGCTAACATGCTTAGCATTGTTATTTATTTTAACAGGGCAAGCAGTCCTTGTTTGCAGAACAAGGATCCATTCAGTCCGAGCTTGGAAGGGTGGCCCCCCAACAATATAATTGTTGACCCTCGAACCCAAAGAAGAGATCGGCCTCTGTCCACTTCAGGATTTTTTTTAACTTGTTTGATTTTTGATCGATCGGTCTTAATTATGGCAACAAATAGATAACCATTGTATCGTAATTTAATGTTTTTATCAATTTAAAATTACGTTTTTTTCTCTACTTTTAGTTATAATAATAAGATCAACTTGTATTTCAAACTTTATATCCCTTAATTTTTTTGCAATGTTATTAAAGTTCAGTTTCTTAGACATTTTTATTATTTTTTTTTTCGCGATCTTCAAAAATATTAATGATTTAATGAATTCATATCGGAGTCATGTTTTCACACCATTCCCTTAAAAAATATATTTCTATTTCATCTTAAAAATAATTTTAACTTCACACAATACTCACTGGACTGTGATAAACGGAAATCTCATATCTATAGATAAACTCTGATACTATTTTTAAAATTATCAACATTTCATGAATACCCTTTCTAAAGTAGATAATTTTACTAGATATTATAAATAGACTATAGAATCTTTAATTTAACTATTTAGTATTTAGATATTGTTTATTTCTTAAAGAAGATTTATTCCAAAAACTGAAATCGAATGTTTATTGTTCATTAAACCTTTCTTTAAATATCTAATTCTTTGTTTAATGTTTGAGCTGTTGATAAGAGTTGTTATCTCATCTTATCTTATCTCTTTATTGTTTGATAAGTTTTCCCGATGATAGTTGGTAATGACCCTGATTAATAACATCTTCGGTTTTATTATTTTATTTTTGTGTTGAGGTAGACATTTAAAAAAAAAAATAATATCAGCTACTATTTACTCCGTCTGAATTTACTAGATTTTGCTTATAAATTTAATTTTAATATAAATCTTAAGCATTCGAAAAAGCCCTTTCAAATATCATGGGCATGAAACTGAAAAGCCATCATTTTTTAGCCCTACATACGAATTTTAGTAAAAAAGAAATAAATAATATAAAATAAAAATATTTTTACAATTATCACGCCCAAACGCCCCAGGCTTTATCCCCATTTAATACAAGTGTAGTAAAGTTGAGATAAAACCAGCCTTGTCCCAACATTTAAAAAAATAAAGATGAAATAGATCAGAAATTGTTCATTATTTTCCCCATTATAATTGCTAAAATGTTTATAATTTAAACGATCAAAAATAGTATCACTTACTATGAACGACATCAATTTCATGGTTTGGAGTAATTTTTTCTGAAAGTATACAGTTAATTAGTTAGTTAATACAGTTAATATAACCTCACTAATTAATACCGGTGTATCAATTGATTTATTAAAAAACAAAATGTATAGGATCGTTTTAAGTACTTTAATATTGTACTGAACAAATTTTGCAAACAAAAATTTGAGATATTCTCAAAAAACTAAAAAAATGTTTGTCCGTCCGCCTTCCGCGTCTTTTCTTGGAGACTACTGGACCGATTTTTCTCAAATTTGTAATCAAAGTCTAAGGTCCCCCGAGGGTGATTCTCCTATCCGCCCCTTCCTTTCAATATGGTGGCGGAAAACCTGTGTTGCTACAGACTGTAGCGTCTTCTACGACTTTTAAATTTATTTGTATAGTGTACTTCAATGAAAAGAAGCTAGAAAAAAGTTACGAGAAGTGGTAAAAATAGATTTTCGAATAATTCAAGTTTACATTTTGTTGGTCGTTTTCTATTTAGTTATTTAAAAGTTTAAGATTTTTACTAAAAAAAAAAAAAAAAAATCTTTGAAATCGGAGCGAAGATATGGTGTTCTAAATATAAGATCTGTAGAAGTATATTCACATTTGCATTTATTATATATTACACTACAACAATTGTTAACATCTATTTACTTCACTTTAGGATCTTGTTACTTAGCTTACTCTGTTTATATTTTAATGTACTTTCTGTTTATTAATTTAATAAGCTTATTCACATTGTTTATAATTTTTTGTCTAAATATTGTGAAACTTCCACAAGTCTATATTTTTGTATTGTCTGCTCTAGTCCTGAAGAAGACCTACAAAGTCGCGTCAAAACGTCGGCTTTCAATAAAATAGTTTTGCCACTATTTAGCCTATTTATGACCGCCACCCCGGACCATCTCCTTCCTTTGTTCTAAATATGATTTGTATGTTCTATTGTTTGATTTTTTTAAAGTTTTACATCATCTGTTGTCTATTTTTTAAAGGAAATTATTAATGATAAAATAGAGAATTGTATAGACCAATATTAGGAATCCCTCTTTATTTATTTTCTTAATGTTACATGGAAAGTAATGTTAATTTTGATGTTAAATTGTTTGAAAATAATAAACCAGTGTGTTATTATTTGCAGTGTATTTTAGTTGGGGGAGGGGGAGTTCAAAGGCGTCAATCAGGGTTATTATTGCCTTAATTTGGTAAATGATTAAATTTTGTTTATTTGTTTCGATTTCAAAAAATCAAAGAGTTCATCAATTATATGTATATTACCCTGCAAACTCGCTACTTTTTTTCCTAACAGCTGTGACTTTAAAAAATAAAGTAAAAAAAAATTGTATCTATTAAATTTTATTTCTGCTACTTCCTTTTCACTATAAGATAAGTCTATTCCTTTTTTTAAAATACCCCCCCTTAAAGTTAAATCTGGACCCCCCAACAAGTACTGAGCGGGCTATCCAGAGTACACAAGAGTAGGCCCTCGGTGAACAGAGAGGCCGATTAGCGCCCCCTCAAGTGGCCCTATCGGGAACTAATCGTCCGCCAATTACCAATTAAGGAAGCTCCATGTCCCGGCTGCCAAAGTTTGTCCCGCCATCGAGGTACAACAAAGTCCCGAAGAGTTTTATCTCGGGGGGCTTTGGGGGTGATGGACTCGAGTTTAGTGTTGAGGGAGGGGGCGCCTTCAAAGTAATTGCCAATCAATCTGTCATAAAGTTGCCGCTTTTCAGCTCTAATATGTCCTTACAGGTTGACAGCGATTTCAACTACATCAATTAGCTCGAGATGGCTCATTCGTTATATTCTACAATTAGTTAATTATTTTTAATTAATATAGTTAATAAAATCAGTAGCGAATTGACTGATGAACCATAAAATTTTTTGTCATATTGCTGTTATAGTAAGTAAGTCCTTTTTGTCGAAAATTTGAGTATTTGCAACTGTCCCAGAAAAGAGTAAATATTAAGCAAATATAATGATAATACATAGTTCTGGTATTTTAGCCATGAAGAAGGATGGTCTCTTAATCCATTCATTGACAAAGCGAGGTCTCTCATCCAGCTTCTTTTCAGTCGGCATCTTATGACCATATTAGCCACAGCTATATAGCTAACCAATGAATTGTTATGTCCTTCAAATTTCAAAGATAAGGCAATTAAGAGTGCTTATTTGTTTATATTTTGAAATAATTGACAGCAATTGTTTTATACATATATTGAACGTAAAAATTCATTACTAAAACAAAACATTCAAAAAATATTCTTTAAAATTAAAATATTTAAGTAATCAAACGCGTGGTACAGACCCCTTTTTATAAAATTATTAATATCCCTCTGAAACTTAGTAAATAGTTTCATCTCATCGTGACCTACCACACTATTTTTTCTATGAAAATTCTCATAATTGTGCGTTTTCGATCTGGTGGTCATCAAACTTTGTTTATTTAATTAGGTACTAAAAACTCGTAAATACCCATTCGACTTCCACTTGAATCGTGACATAATTTGAACAGAAACTCAAGAAAAAAGGTGGCTTTCAAAAATATTGAGCCGTTTGGCTTTACACCTCCATAAAATAACGGCCCGATATTTTTGTAGGCCACATTTTTTTTCTCGATTTTTTTATCAAATTATCTTACGATCCAAATGGAAGGCAAATGGGTATATACGAGTTTTTAGCACCTAATTAAATATACAAAGTTTGCCAACCTCCACTTTGAAAATTCCCCAATTTCAAGAGTTTTTGTAAATAAAATAGTTAAATAGTTGTAGGTTATGATGAAGCTATTCACGAAGTTTCAGATGAATGTTTATAATTTGAAAAAGAAAAAACAGTATCTGTTCCACGGACCATTACTTTGAAGTTTTTTTGTAAATAGAATTGTAATTGTGATGGAGTCTATGATAAAGTTGATGTTTTGTTATTATTTTTAAAAAATTAATACTCGACAATACTCGCCCAAGTATTACTATATATTCACCTGTGAGTTTATTAATTGGGGCACAACGCCTTTTAAAATACGCGCAATTATAGGCTGCATGAAAACGCAACCTCAGCTTTAAAATTGAACATCGTTTCAGAAATAAAAAAAAAAAGGTCCTACGTATTATATTTCATAGAATTATTTTAATTGGAGGTTGGAAAAAATAAAATAAAAATAATGGAGAAAAAAAAAAACATTTATCTCTGTTGCAGTTCTATAATCGAAATTAAAACGAAAAAAAAGAAATGTTTTTCTGTTATTTTTATCATCTCGAAATCGCCTGATGTTACTATATTTTACCCAACTGCGGCTGAATTACAACATATATTGATAAAAGATTCTTGCGGTTATCTTCCAGTTTCTTCACCTAGAGGTTGAAAATCTTAAAGGGCCTGTTCCATTAGGAAACATTAAACGGTTCTTTAAAAAACAAAAAAAAACTAGACAAATAGAGAGAGCCCTATGGACTGTGGACTCTATAAAACATTAGCTACGGTACCTGAGGACAATACGTTATCAATTGACACCTGCCTCGAGGTTGTTGCTATAGTCACAGCCCGGTGTTGAATACCTAATTCGTTATGACAGTCGTGGCTCGAACCTTAACATATCTTGTTCGTCGGTTCTCTATGGCCGAGTATCGATTCAGGTTGTATTTAATTATAGTGTTAGTCCGTAAAAAGTTAGTTATAATTTTATGGATCTTTTTTTATAAACCTCAAATTTTGATTAAATACATTGCATCCTTATTCCATTAATTTTGCCGTGTAAAATCATTTAATTTTTTTTATAATTCCTGCTAAAGAGAGGGGTAACTCTTTGAACGAGCCATCGTACTCCTTTGCTCTGTTACATCAGACCTGAATCGAACCTTAGTTCAGGAGACCCTCTCCGAGCTCACCCAAGCTCTAAAAATGGGTATTATTAATTCAATAATTCAGTAAGCGACGGTTAAACGTGATCTGGCCTCAATCACTTCTCTCAACGAGCTGTAATTGCTAACATCAACATAGCACTGAACCCAAGGCTCTTCATGGCTTGTATTGCTACAACAGGTTAAATCCAACTGTTTGTCAGTTCTTCTGATTTATTAGCCATGTTTCAAATTTCGTATGAAAATAATTTGTAGTAACTTATTATTGTATCTTATCTTAAACGTTTAATGTTATGTTTCTGTAAATATAAACAAAAAACGCTGCAAATAATTTCACAATGGTTTATTATTTCCAAACAATTATACATCTAAAGTAACATTACCTTCCGAGTTACAAAGAAAAATAAACAAAAGGTGATTCCAATTATTGGACTAAAGTTTTTTTTTTAATCATTAGTAATATGCTAATTACTTCAGTAACACATTCAAAATTTAAAAACCAAACCAAGGATATTACATTTGGAGTAGAACACATAAAAAAAACCGGAGACATACTTTGCTACTAATTGTCCGATTTTAACGATTTTTTTAGGAAATTTCGTAAACTTTTAAAAAACCATATACAATATCAACAAAAGTATAAAGGAGCTACGGTCTATAGCAACGCAGGTTTTTCGTCCGCCATTTTGAAAATAAAAGGCGGATAGTAATGTCGATGAACGAGGATCATCCTCGGGTGACCTCTGATTTTATATCAAAATTTGAAAAAAATCGGTCCCGTAGTTTCGGAGAAAATGTGCGGACGGCGGACGGACAAAAAAATTTGTATTCATTTTTCGAATTCTACGCATCCTGAAACGTGAAACCTCAAGTTTTGAGAGGGGGTTAAGTTTTTGAATTTTTTGGTCGATGACAATGGTTGGTTATTGAAAATAATAAACCAAAATTTAAACATAAATTTCATGAACGTTACTGAGTTTGTTCTGTCTGTTACTGACATTTTTCTTTCAGTTTGAGAGTGAAACTAATTTGGCATGATAAATTAAATATTCTTGTTTACTTCAGTTTACATATAATATAAGAAATATGAAAGGAGTGAATTAAGGCAAATAAATTATAAATCATATATTTTAAATCAACTTAATTATTTTCGTTTTGAATTTGTAAAATTGTTGAATGATTTCTGGTGATGAAGTGACGCGATTTTTTCATAATATCTAAAAAAATTATTTTATCACATGCTAACAATAAATGTTTGAAGTAAAAATAAATAATATTTAAAACGTTTTAAATCATTTCTGGTCTCATTGAGCAGCAATATATTGTACAGCACTTTCTTTCTTCAAGATTCAATTTGAATTTATTCTTAATATTTTATCGATGAAGAGATTTTTAAAAGTAGTGCATAACGCAAGTGGATACGGTTTAAAACTATTTTCTTTTTCACTAACTTATAATAAATTATACAAATGACCAAAATTATATGTTAGGTGTTCTTAAATACAGGTTAAAAACAGGATCACATCACTTCATATTATCTAAAGATATACTAGCTAGCGAAACTTCGAGAAGTTAGTTTGTTCTTTAGCTAAATTTTTGCTACACAATATTGTATGGAATTCCTCCAATTATAATCTAACATCTACTATTTTTTTTTTTTTTTTTTTTGGAAAATATTACAATCTGTCTCATGGACATTTATAATAGTGTTCAAAGATCACATCCACACTCTATGTACAATAAATAAAATAAATTATACAGACAAATAATATATATATATATATATATATATATATATATATATATATATATGCAATAAATAAGAATAAAACCATCTACTAGATCGCAATTATATTCAGCAAGAATATTTTTCTGTTTATTTTCTTCCCAGATTGAAGACAAAGATTATGATATGTTATCAGGGTATTTGTAGGAGGGGAGAAGACCGAATACACACCTGTCGGGTTGCCCGCCTTACCTGAGCTAACCTTCTCTCTAGGTCCTGCCCGATTCATATTGTTCCTTATCCTTAGGATAATAAGTAAATAATATAATACTGATTACATATATATATATATATAAAGTAATATTAAATTAAAGGCTAATAATTCAACTATCGATAAACAAAGCTTTGATGTGGTTGAGAGAACTTACAAATTTTTTGTTTTAACCAAAGCAATGCCTCGGAAGACTTACTGTTTTTTGTTTTCTTTCTCATTCCTCAGATTCCATCACTTTTATTCTTCCTTACAACAGGCATCCCAATGATAGTTAAATATTCAGATTAAACAAATTCAGTATTATTATAATAAAAATTAGCTTATTGTGATCATTATAGCTTCTTCACAATATTTGTTTTTAGTATTTCTTAAACGCAAGGCTCCAGACGAGTCTTGGTCTTACGTTCTCAGTCCTTGTCTTGATCTTGCACTAGAGTCTTGCAGTTACCTATTAGCTTATTGCTATTCAATAAATATTTTACTTTAGATCTTAAAAAAACACTACAGAATGGGTACATTTATATGTTTTATTGACATAAACATAGTAAAGTCCTACCAAATTAATAAAATTAACTTAACAATACATCAAAGGCATTCTTAAAAAAGATAGTAATACCCTTAGAATGGAATAATTGTAAAGTAAAGTTAATGTATACAATGTCAACAATGATTTAAATAAACAATCTCGTGTTTCCACTCACATGATTTTCCTATCCTATTTTTTTTTTTTTTTTTAATTTATATATGTTCATTAAAAATAACACAATTGAATTAGAATAATTTTTCTGATAACCGATCAGAGGAATCATTAGAGTGCGATTTGTTTGATGAACTAAACAAATGAAAACGGTAAGTTTTCAGAAGAACAATTATTAAAATTAGAGGATAAAATTCAATACATTGTAACGTTGCTAAAACTGTTACAATTATTTTTGTTTTATAGTAATGTCGGAGATTAAATATCCTTTTAAAAATGTTACTACTACATACTTTAGAGATATTACTGTATTTTTTCAGAATAGGGATACCTCATTTAACCCTTAATGAATGAAAAATTGGAAGAGTTAAATGCTGAAGTATATTCATTCTCCAAATTCTTTACATATAGTAACTAAAATTTTTTAGTATTAGTAACTACTTTGCCTTAATTTTTATTTACATAAACGTCTTCTTTTTTTTTTTTAACAGTCTTACAACAATTAGGCTGTGTTGGTCTTGGTCTTGTAAGGTACAAATACTTAGTTTAGGCATCTCTATTTGTTTGATATTTACCCTAATTTCAAAGTTCATGATTTGTCATTTAAGAATACTACTACATGAGAAGTAGTTCTTGAATTTTTTTATTCTTCACAAGAAAAACGCACGCCTAAGTAAAGAAATATACCACCTAGTTAGATTTCTGTGCCACCTTGGTATCAATCCCTAAAAATTTAATGAAATCTCATTAATGGTGATAGAAATTATTTCTAGTTAAAAATTGTTAACTTGTAAATATATTCTTTACAATTACATTCATTTCAATTGTCAAATGGAATTTGATGAACTTGATACTTGATCATTTTTATACTATTCCCAAAATTTTCTACAATTTTGTATCTAATAGAAAAAACCTTTTTGAATTTCGTGTTTCAAGAAAAATACATTTGTGGATCCTTGCATATTTTTTCAAAGTTCATTTAATGTTTTTTTTTCGATTCCTTATTATAGCCATTTTTTTAAATATATGCTTATTTAAGGAACTAGATTTATGTGTGCGTGTGAATAATATCTAATTATCATTTAATTAATGTAAGATTTTTTTTTATTATTATCATCTTTATAGCCTACTACCAATTGTCTTTCAATTAAAAGCTATTTAATATTCATTGATATGTTAATTTTTGTTTCTTATTAAATGATGTATTAATTCGGCTACTTTGCATTGGAATAACAATTAATCCATGGAACACCGAGGAAGCAATGTATATCTGCTATTTCATCGCCTTATAATCCTTCATGTTTCAGGATCTATATTCGGGTAAGTTTATTCTCCCTTAATTGATTTAGGATTATCAGCATCCCAGACAAGTAAAGAGGTGATTGTATAGGGTCCAAAAGGCTTTTATAATGTGGCGTGTGGGGGGATCCATGTATTAACGCTGGTTTTGCAAAACGTCGTTTATATGTATTTGATAACAATACAGTTCCCTTAAAATCGTTTACGTTTTCTCGTATAGTAAATCCAATGTGCCAGAATTGCTCACTGTGTCCTTCCAGCCAAAATATATTCCCGGAGGATCCAGCCTGAGCCTCCAGGAACCTGGAGCTAATGGAAAGGAGACAGCCCTGGAGTCAACACTCCTCAGGCATCTGTCTTCTCTCAGATGGAGCATTTGTCGTCTGAGCGATATTGTCTCCTGTTGGCTCCTCCTCCTATATAATGGTCTGTTCTGCCTCTACTCTATGTCTAGCTATAGCTTAATAATTGCAAGAAAGAAAAACAACCATATCAATTTTTCTTTTATTATTATTTCTTAATGATATTTACAACTGTATTGAATAAATACATCTAGTAAATTTGAACATAATGGATATAATGACATGAAAAACACTTGCTGAGTAACTAACCAATGGTAGCACTCTAATGATATGTCTACATGAGGAGATCACGGGGCCATCTTCTTTTCAGACGCCTCGGAGGGTTATCAGGAATTGAAGAGAAAGCAAGGTTAGAAACGAGAGGGTTGGGATGATTCTGAAGTTTATTATGGAAGGATAGGTATCTGGATTGGGCCAGATCTGAAACATAAGGAACATTAAGATCTTTATGGATAATTTTATTAGTGACAAAGTAAGGAGCATTGAGGATTTTACGAAGGATTTTGGATTGTAAGGATTGGATACGAGAGAAATTTGAAGGTTTGGTGGAGCCCCATAGCTCAACTCCGTAAGTCCAAATAGGTCTTATTATTGTCATATATATGAGTCTTTTGTAGTTAATTGGAAGTTTAGAACGTTTGTCTAGTAAGTGCTGAAGTAATCGGAAAGGTCGTGGGGTTTCTAGTCGTTTCAGTCTAGTATGGGGGTTCCAAGTTAGTCGTTTGTCCAGGTGGAGTCCTGTTATTGTTATAGGAAACTGCAGGACAGTAGTCATTCGTTTACGACGCATATCATATTTAAATTTAATAATTTTGTCAGCAAACTATTCAGAAATTCAGCTTACGCAGACTTTTACCAAAATATCATATTTAAGACGTACTTTAACATAACAATAAGGGCAGTTATGCCTCAAATCATGTGGACTAAATCATCTCTACTTTAACAGATAGCAACCTTAGCACGCCTGAATCCATTGTAGAGTGCGCCATTGTTTGGTTTTGTTTACTTTCTGGGAATCATCCACCACCATTTGCTCGGGAGCGGATAGGATGGGAATTTGATGATGGGGGGAGAGGCATGCGTATATTAGAACATATTTATTTTATTTATTGACACATCTACTGTTCTTGTATATATTAATTTTATTAAGTTTTTTTATTGCTAATACACTTTTTTTTTCGTCATTACTGTATAATTTGTTATCAGAAAGTATGAATCTGATTTGGAAGAGAGAGGTGGAAATATGACGATGAATAAGAGAAATAAATAAGGGGGGAGAAAGGAAATCGAATGTTTAAAAAAAAATGTAGGAATAAATAAATAAAAAAGGAGAAAAATCTGGTGTGGTGCCCCCAATGCATTAAGTATTTTCAGAAAGTAAAAATTATAGATGGTATGAAACATTTAAAACAATTAATTACTATATGTTTTTCATAACCGGCTAATTTCTTATATCAATTTTGTTTAGCACTAGCCATACTTTTACAACTGTATATTTCAATTATTTATTTGATTATAATAAATAATTAAGTGCCACGAAATATTTTTAGTCGACTAAAAATTACTAAAGACTTGCTAGTAGTAGCAAAATAATATCTTCCATAACATGAAGATTTATATTTACCTTTCGGAGTTGAATTTCTATTGTAAAAATTATTTTAATCTCACAATGTTTATTGCACGTCTTTCTTATAATGTCGCCATCTAATATAAATAATAAAATTACACTGTAGATATTTGTTTTTAGCTCAGAACTTGGTATTAAGTTGAATACAATTTTTTGTTCTCTTTGTTAGTAATTAGAAATTCAGTTTTTGTTTTTAATTTTGTATTTTCAAATAACGGTATTAATAATTACAAGATAATATATTCAGATATACACCATGCCCCCAATCGTATTTCTTTATTTTTCGTACTATTAAAACATGATCAAATTAATTTTTGTTATTTATTAATTTTGTTATTTAAAAAAAAAATGGTGGGGCTTTAACCCAAAAGCGCTATTTTATGTCGATGAACAATTAAGTCGAATAATTTATTTATGATAATTTAAAAACAAACATTTTTTTTCTATTTTTTAGTCTGGTTTGCTGTAATTAATGCTTAATTAAATTTTATTATATTTTTTATCGTGTATATATATATATATATATATATATATATATATATATATATATATATATATATATATATATTATTTGATAAATAGAAATCAATAAAAATACAAATCAAGAAAGAATTGGATATCTAAATATTCATGTTTAAGAGATGTTAGTTGTGGGAAGGGTAATCAAAATCTAGCGATCCCGTTGCAGTGTTGCCAAATCAACTCAATTATACTGCCTTTCCTCTTCTATATATGGCAACATTGCATTTCACTTTCACTTTTTTAATATTGAATAAAGATACTAGACTTCGACAGCTAATATTAAACCAGCCTATTTTAACTTCAAGCTATTCTATATTTCATTAATAGATCTTTTATCGTTCAAAATAATTTATTTAGATAAAATGTTAAGTCTAATAGAAGTGTAGAAATCTAAAAGCAATGAATGACAATGTCGATTTTTTTTTTTAAATTTAGTTTCGTACTGATCATCAATTAAATTTTGTTTTCTAAAATCTGTTTAATTAGATGTGATTTAAATAATTGTTAAATTAAAAAAATATATATTTTGGGATGGATTTGGTTGGTTTGGGAATTTGACCCTTTAACATAGGTCAAGCTCCTAAACTCTGCATTTGACTTATTGATGGTCATTGGAAATCAATCAGGCAGTTCCTTTACTCATCGATGGATCTATTAATAGATCCGTTGAATATAACCTCATAATTATCTCTGTGTTGTTATTTCTCAATTTACTTTACATATTTCTATTCAGTTTACTTTCTATCTATATTTATTTCTGTTTTTAAATTCAACTATTCGGTTGGTAAATATTTCCTTAAAATTTTATATAAACTTTCATGTGTTTTTTAGCCTTACAAGAAGGTTATCTTTCCTCTAGAATCCATCTGGTTGACAATCCATCTGGGTACGAATCGCTCTCCAACGATGGAGATTTCAATCATTTGATGGATTCCATCGATGGAATTAGCACTGAGTTTATGAACTTGCTCCAAAAGTATAGTAGATAAACCTGTACCACCACAACCCGCGAAAGGTCTTGGTTTAATTTCCCTTTCGGTCAGTTATATTGTTCCTTTTTTCCCTCAGAACGATTTTAAAAATTGCTTCCGCCTAAATATATACAAAACAATACGTTTTATATTTATTTTATTTATATTTTTTTTTTTTAAAATAGATTAAACAGTGATACAATCAATTTTAGATTGATAAAATTCTCTCCTAACCTTGGAATTTCCCTAAAAAAGTTGAAAACATGGCTAAGTACTGTGTAGGGAAGTACTGTTTCTTGCTCATCGATTGTCAAGGAGGTGATTTGGTCTAGATCATGCTCAACCGCCAAGTGCCTCCATTAATTAATTAATTAGTATTATACACTTTATAGAGGTTGAATATACCCCAGGAGAGTATCACATTTCGTCATATTTTACCGTTTCTATTTTTATTTATCACGAAATATACACACTGAATTAAATAATTAAATATTAATTAATTCTAGGACTGTATTAATAAATATCGCTTGTGACCGCAACTACGTCAGTGGCCACAGAATGCCCCGGTTCCTCTCTTATGATATATTTCTATATGTTACGCTACTTTGGAGTGCATTATATCTAATTCCATTCAAGCAGATATTTGTCAGCGACCCCTTTTAATAAAATTATTAACATCCGTCAAAAAAATAGTTTTATCTTTATCATAACCTGCAACGTCTTTAATTCTCATAGATGGAGCGTTATCAATTTGGAGATCGCTAAACTTTGTCTATTTAATAAGGTTCTAAAAAATCATGAAAACCCAATTCCTTTGAACACAAAATCTAAAGAAAAAAAAAATTTAAAGGAGGGGGATGATTCCTTCATCTCTTATGGTACGTTGAATCATTCAATTTCATTAATATTATGTTATTTGTTCACTGATCAATATTCTTTGCGAATTATTCACTATAAAAATAAAAATATTTTTCAAAAACATAAATTAATTGTTTTATTTATTGAATAATATTATATTGTGCAACTTGGACATGAGTTAAATCATTATGTACATCACATTCATTATGTACAAAAAAATATAAAAATAAACATAACTAAATAAATATCAAAAAGTAGATACAATAAATTAAATTGAATAACTTAAAGATAAGTTAATTTAAAAAACATACATACATATACTATTTACTATAAGGCTAGGGAACTCTGAGGCCGACTTTGTCTCTCCAAGTAGAGGGGAAAACAGGAACTGCTTTACTGAATCTAAAGCCAGTGGAGATCGAGAGCGCTTTAGCCTTTCTTAATAATTAATTTACAATTTCACACATGTTGGACTAACAGTAGCAAAGAATCCCAGCTAAGCTGTTCTCGTTAAAAATCATCGAACTAATTACGAAGCCCTAAATTAAACTAAAAATATCTAAAATAGTAAAAAAAAAATCTCTTCTAACCTGAAGATGTTTAAAATTTAATATAAACCATTACATGAATATAAAATACAGCCCCCCCCCCCCCGAGCTCTGTACATCCTGAATTACTGATTGAAGGCAGACGGACCGACATGGCGGGGTATAAAGGGGGGGGGAGGATATAGGCTAGATATAGGCAGCAGTGGCCAGGTCCCAAAGGACGACTTGACGTCCCCTGATGGCCCTAATATCCTGCCTCCTGCAGGACCTGTCTCCTCTCCTCAACCCATTTTTGTCTTAATATTCTCCCTTATCTTGTCTTCTCTCCGCTCTGATCAGCGATAACACTAAGGAGCTTTACCGGGTCTGATTTGTTTATTATAAGTATCTATTTATGTTTCTATTCTTATTTATTTGTAAGCCATTTATAAATGCAAACTCTTGTAAAACACCTCAAAGAAAATACTTGATGTAAACATATGATTAAA